CCACAAAAATGTCCCACAAGAGTGTCCCGCAACAGTGTCGCTCAAGAGTGTCTCACAAGAGTGTCCCTTAAGAGTGTCCGACAAGAGTATGAGTGTCCTACAAGAGTGTCCCACAAGAGTTTCCTACAAGAGTGTCCCACAAGAGTGTCCTATAAGAGTGTCCCACAAGAGTGTCTCACAAGAGTGTCCCACAAGAGTGTCCTACAAGAGTGTCCCATAAGAGTGTCCTACAAGAGTGTCCCACAAGTGTCTCACAAGAGTGTCCTACAAGAGTGTCCCACATGGTTGACCTACAAGAGTGTCCCACAAGAGTGTCCTACAAGAGTGTCGTGTAAGAGTGTCCCACAAGAGTGTCCTACAAGAGTGTCCGACAAGAGTGTCCTACAAGAGTGTCCCACAAGAGTGCCCCACAAAAATGTTCCACAAGAGTGTCCCGGAACAGTGTCGCTCAAGAGTGTCTCACAAGGGTGGCCCTTAAGAGTGTCCGACAAGAGTATCCCACAAGAGTGTCCTATAAGAGTGTCCCACAAGAGTGTCCTGCAAGAGTGTCCCCCAAGAGTGTCCCACAAGAGTGTCCTATAAGAGTGCCCCACAAGAGTGTCCCACAAGAGTGTCCCACAAGAGTTTCCTACAAGAGTGTCCCACAAGAGTGTCCTACAAGAGTGTCCCACAAGAGTGTCCCACAAGAGTGTCCTGCAAGTGACCCACAAGAGTGTCCTACAAGAGTGTCTCACAAGAGTGTCCTACAAGAGTGTCTCACAAGAGTGTCCCACAAGAGTGTCCCACAAGAGTGTCCTTTAAGTGTGTCCTACAAGAGTGTCCTGAAAGAGTTTCCTACAAGAGTGACCCACAAGAGTGTCCTACAAGAGTGTCCTACAAGAGTGTCCCAGAAGAGTGTCCCACAAGAGTGTCCTACAAGAGTGTCATTTGGACATATGTAGTTTTTCGATCGTGTTTTCATTCGGGTTCGTGGGTTCCATCTTGTTTTAAATCAGCAAAGAAGTGATCTCCAGCATCGTCAAGAGAGGAGGGTTGGAACTATATTCATACATTATGGAGATGGCAAGATCAAAGGCGGGAGGCGAACTGTTTGATAGCCTGCAAAGAAGACAGCAGAAAGGAGCAGCGATAAAGACAAGCCTCAAACCTGCATTCTAATCAACAACTCACTTGTGTTCAACCCCTCCCTAGTTTCTCATTCTTTTTGGCGATGATGTTTAAAGCCCGGAGAAAATGGCGAAGTCTAATTCTGTTTTCGGTCGCAAGCGCGCGTTCCTCACAGCAAACGCAGCAAGCAACACTTGAACGCAGCTGAAAAGTGAGAACTTTATCAATCTTGCGGTCTGCATACCGTCCATGTGAAGACTCGCCTCAGGCTGTTCGCCAACCCAACGCGCATTGGATCCTGGAAGATGGAGAAGCTGTTGCACAAGGGCTAGGCCAGGCCAGCACTCTGCAGACCCTCCATCTAGCCTTGCTCCTTTTGCTCACCGTCTGCTTGGGGCACCCTGCACACTTGAACAGCCAGCCACATACTCAGCCTGTGCTGCAGCAACGCACAGAACAACAAAAGACTACGTTGGCTCTCGCGGCGCAGCTGCATCTAGAAATTAACACGATTGAAAATCTTTGTTGTGTGTGTGAAAGGGCATTGCCACGCCGTTCTGTTCGCGCAAGCATTGACTTACGGTGAGGGCTGTACAGGACTCTACATTTGGAGGTTGGCTCTGCGACGAAGTCCGCCTTCGGCTTCTAGTGAACGCAGGCCCCGGCCACCTTCTTCAAGACATAGCCCATGTAAAATGTGTTGTTGGTGGATAGCCCATGTAAAATGTGTTGTTGGTGGCCAGGATGCTGAGGAGGCCACACATAGGGCAGGTCTCCTGCGCCAACCAATCATACAATGTGCCAGCATCCTCTCAACGGTCTACCGAGTCACCCGCCTCCTCCGCACGCCGCTTTTTGACCGGCCCCTGGCCGGTGGTACTTTCAGAACAGCGCTGAGATGCAACAGGGTATCCGTAGAGTTTGGTCCGGCGGGGACTCATACCTTCCGCAGCGCCCACCGCGGTTCAGAAAGTTGACGACAAAATTACCACATTGGGAGCCATGCATGAATGAAAATCTTCTGTGATCACACACGCTAGGACCGCTAGGAAGCAACGCGTCGCTCGCGGCCGTAGCCTTTTTGGGACCACGACCCGCAAGGCTGCCACATCTCCCACCACTCTCCTTTTTCCCGCGCGCTTCCAAAATCTTCGGCCGTCAACATCTGGCAGCAGCAGCCTGCAGCGGCACCAGCACTCAGGCTCCAAAACGCACACTGCCATAGACATCTATAGCAGCGGCACTTTGCAGCTGCACCAGCACGCAAGCTCCAAAGTGCTCATCTCGCAGCAGCAGCAGCAGCAGCAAAAGGTGAACGGGCCGCGTCCTGATCGGTCACCCACGGTCCTCCGCACCTCTCCAACAGACCGGCATCCGGTGCCCGGAGCGCAGGCGAGTTTGCAGCAAGTCAAAGGCTCCAGTGAGACAGGTCAGAGCAGGTTTGCGAACATTGCATATGTATGTATGTAGGCAGGCAGGCAGGCAGGCAGGTAGGGAGGTAGGTACGTAGGTATGTAGGTATGTAGGTATGCAGGTACGTAAGTACGTATGTATGTATATCGATCGATCAATAGATAGATAGACAGATATACAAAATGATATAGGGCTAGGAAGCAATCGGAAGCAATCTCGATCTTTGTCAGCATGTCGTCTGCTGGTGGCAGCTGAAACAACACGACTTCTGAGGGAGTCAGGAACCAAAAACATCCAGAAACACACAGTTTGTTTATATTTATATTGATCATGTCATGCTTCACTCATTTCCATGGTGATTTCAACGGCTGTACACTGCAACAGAGTCGAGAGACCATGAGGGCCATCAGGGACCCTGGCGTAGTTGGTCTCAGCATGAATCACATCAATCACATCCACTCGTCCGTCTCCGTCCCAATCGACTGGGTATGAGAAGCCATACCAATCATTTGCTAAGTTGAGTGGAAAAAATCGTTCAAGCTCCTTAGATGCGCTGCAGCAAGCCATGGCTCATGGACCTGGCACAGACTCAAAACGAAAATTGCACAAGAACAGTTATCTTCGACTTTGGGATTCCACGGGCCCATGCAAACATCTGGGTCGAACTTCTGATCCAAAGCCGCTAATCGGCATCAAGAATCATTCCAACGTCCTCGACATTTTGACCCATCCACGTTGCACCACTTCCCAGTGACAGGCACCAGGATCCACAAGAAAAGCAAAGTGCGAGCCATCAGCTCATTTCACGGCCAGCGAGAGGCCTGACAGACCTTGAGCCAAACTGAGATGTTCAAGTTTTCTTCGGAGACTTTTGCTACAATAAGCCCAGAGGTGGACAATAGACACATTTGAACTGTCCGTATGGAGCTCTAATTGAAAGTTTGCCGTTCCAGCCATGGACCTTCTAGCGAGGAACATGTTTGCGAACCTTAAGAGGCCGAAACCTCGTGCTGAAACTTGGCTTCTGAATCCCTCAGTTTGAGCCGGCTTCCATTTACACCAGGCTTAAGCATCGGTGTTTGCATTTACCGCGCATAGGACACATCCAAGACCTGTTCCAACATCTAAAACTTTAAAAAGGTGTCCTCGAGCGACCATGTCTGTCCTCGAGCGACCATGTCCACTAAACAACATTCCCTTTCTTTATGGTTTGTCCAAATGCGCATAAGCTTGATTGATGTCCACTATGCCACTGCATGATGGGCGCTCCTAAACCAGTGGAAAATCTAAATTTGACCATGCAGCTGCCCAGAGTCTATCGAGTTTTTCCTGCATTGCACGCAAGACGTTCCGGAACTACAAGTTGTCCTACGCAGCGCATTCAGCGCGTGGTTGGATGGTGATCCCGAGGACCGCAGGCCTCACTTGGTAAAGCACCAGCCCATCCGTCCATGACGTGTAATCCAGCTTTGGGGCAGAATTGAAAAGCGTTAAAGAAACTGATTGGCGGATTGGCGTGTTTTAAAAACTTGGACGAACACCCCATTCCATGCCCTACTCAAGTCTAGTATATGCCTCCTGGCTTTTGCCTCTGGTGCCACGGCCCAGAAACACACCCAGAATCAGCGCAAATATCGCAGTGAAAGCTGGGAAGGCGGTGCTGGTGGCTGAGAGGCCAACAGGTTCTGGCAGTTGATTCAGTTGATCCCAATCTTTGGGGACAAAGTGGATGCCCATGACGTGTGCAGTGTGGACTCTGCGAAGAAAATCGGCCACCACTCGCAAGTGCTCGTCTGCATCGTCGATCATGGAGACATGCCCCGAATGAGGAAACCTTGGCGTTTTGCTTTTGGTCGATGCTTCAGAAAAGCAGAGCTACGACATCGACATTGGTCATAGAATGACACCACAAAAGTCTGCCCGCACCGAAGATGCCGTGCATGATCCAAAAAGGCACGCACTAAACCGGAAGTATTGGCGGGAGCTGTGTAAGCTTTAGCTTGGAGGGGTGGGTGTTTTTTCCTGTACATTTATCGTTTTTGAAAAGTTGAAAAAAAATATATAAATGTGTTTTTTGGTCAACATAGACTCAACATAGCCCAAGATAGACTCTCACGATGCTAGATATGCAGAGGGGTTGGATTGCGTTATTAGCATCGTGTGTGATAGCTTCTGGGCCCTTCCCTTCAAATGGCTTTAAGAGAGCAGAAGACGACAAGAACAAGAAGCAAGAAAAAGAAGGTGGGCCTCATCATGTAGTAAATACAAGTGATGGAAGGGGCTGCATTCCGTCGGCAACTGTTCACCTTGTTAAAGCATGTGTCAGCTAACTTGTTGGTTCAATCAAGTACTGATGAGGCCACTTCAAAATTGGTGACAGCATCCAAAACTGCTTGTGGCTTGATGCACTTTCCACCGACCTGAAACGCAGATGCCAAATGGGAGCCCATCATCAAAGGCAGAGCAAGGGTTGAAAATAACATGACACCAGCCGCGACCGCTGATTCATTAAAGTCCCGAACCTGTTTTGATGGTGTGTGATAATTGTCACCATAAAAGCAGCTTTCGATTCAGGATTTTGCTTGCAAAGTTCAATTTCCAGATACCAAAACCTAATTCCAAACACCGGTGATGCCACTTTTGAAGCACGGCTCCCATCTCCAAGCCACATCTTCCACTCCGAGTTTGGGAGCTGTTGCTGCATGGCGCGCACCACGGAGGGTCGCATGGTATCAAAACGCCCCGAGCTCAGAAGCACCGGCACCTGGTCCGAAACGATGTTGACCAAGCGAGCTCCTAGGTAGCGTCCGATCGCTAGTAGCGATGCCAGGAGCCCCTAGTAGCGTCCTTGCTGCTAGGATGCGGTCCCTAGTGAAGGATGTTCCCCCAGCATGTCACGCTTTTTGCGACCGAAAAATATCTTTTCCCGTTTGAACAAATAGGTTTGGGTCCAAGAACGGGGTTTTGGTCTTGCAAACACAAAACGCGATCAGATTCTAGCGCTACTCTATGGAATCTACTGTAAGAGAATCTGCTTCTTGATCTTTGGGAACCAAAAGAAATTTTTGAAATAGGAACAAGCAAATCTGGAAATTTGTTGGCTCCTGGTTTTGGACAAACTCCTGTACATTCATCAGCATGGTTGGAAACCAAACCCCGTGCGATTGGAATCATACACCTGTGATGATTGGTTACTTCTACTGACGTCTTAGTGACTTGTCTTCTTAATGACTTGTGGGTCAGCTGCATGCCGTTGCAGGGTGCAACTTCCCATGTATAAATCATCTCTCAGCTGTCGCGACAGCACCACTACTAGGCCTTGATCTGATGAAGCTGTGCTGTGACGTTGAAGTCACCCAACACGCCATGCATGGTGAACCTGGAGCCGCCAGATTAAGTGCGGAGAAATGTGAGCAACCTGATATGGAGATGCCTAAACCTATGTATCGTCTATGTACAGCCAAGCCCATCCAAGGGTCTTGAATATGGCCTTGTATGGCACATTACCTCCAATTTGGGTGTGTCAATCTGGGCCATTCATTGAATGGTTTGAGAACTCTATAATATGTAACCAACTTGAAGACTTTATCTAGGGAACTCACCCGAATCACAGAGAATGATGGGCGTGAGCGCAAAGTGTTGGGTGAAAACTGGTGGCGGAAACTTGTGCAAGTTGTTCTCCACTTGCTAACTTAAGGATGCATGAGAGAGTAGCACAAACTAAGCTTCATTCCGGGAAGATGGTTGACCGTCACATGCTCCCAATGCTGAGCACCACCCTGGACAAAATATGGAGATTCTGTCTGGGAGGGCTCTGAAGTGATTGCACCCCACTTTCAACTCCCAAAATTCCCCAACTCGAGTTCCTGCACAATCGAATCAACACCCAAAAGAATCGCTGGAATCGCTGGTACGGTTTGCATCCCATGACTCCTCTCTCCATATTATATATATATATAAACACATAATACATATATGTATGTGTATGTATATGTATTTGCGCAGTAATTTGTACATGTATTAGGCGTTAAAAGCAGGTCACAACTGTCGTACTTGCCAGGGTCAACTGAGCGACTCTGAAGCGCCCTGCATTCCGACGTAGATGTCACGGTTGAGACCCACATTGGAGTAGACGAAGCAATCCTGGCTTCGGATTTGACGGAAAAGACACCAAGGCCTGAAATGTTGCGAACCTATTCACGAAATAGGATGAACAAGGCACCAAAAAGGATGATCATCATTGAAACCCTGCCTTCTTTGCAGAGTCCAAAGTTCAATTTCTAGTGGGGTGCTAGTTCAATCCCCATGGTCTGTTTCTTGAACATCCCATTTCTGCGTGCTGGGCGTGTTTATTTCTCCAGGCATCTGGAGCAGGCGCCGTCCGCAGCGTGAAGAAGGTCGTGAGCACTGCATTGATGGCCTGGTACTCGGGGCTGTCGTAGGCATGATCCCTCTCCAGCTGGTGCACACGTCCTGCGGGCAGTCTTGCAGTCGACACCTCAGGGTCGAAAGGATTTTCTCCACGAATGGATGGCTTCATCCAGCTGATGGAGATGGCTCAGAACCCCAAAATACTGGATGAGACTCAAAATGTGCGAGCGATTGGGTGAGGAATTTGGTCCCTACATATACATATTGCCATTTCACCAAGAACAAGCAGGCTGAGAATGAGAGAAGATGTTTGCGCCATCCCTGGCATGGACATCTTCCCTGCGATTGCTTGCAGCGACCGCTTACAGCACAATTGGGCTCAAAAGGGAACAATTTCCACTGATGCAGCCCTGTCCTTGAACAAAAGGAGGCAGGCTGCCTGCAAAGCCGAACCAGTTGTTTGTTCGACAGGCGAGCATATTCACAACCCCCCAGTACATCAGTTGGTAGCAGGGATACTCGATCAATATCGTTCTTCCCCACAACCACAAAGGTTTCAACCAAGAGAAATGGTGGCATGACCCGTAACCTGTGTCACCCTCTAAATTGAAAGAAAAGCACTTCATATCTGGACACAACAAATATCATCCGCATTGGCCCAAGCTGTATTTCCATTTTTCAAGGTGATTAAACGTGAGCATCTACATCTTCCATTTGTGCTGGATTATGCCAAATTGGTTGTCCTGAGTGTGCAAGTAGTGCCGATTCTGCCTATTGTGAGTATAGGATCATCCAGAATGCAAAAGCATCTCAGTATAGATCAAACCATTGGGTCACCACCAGCGTAATTGCTCAAAATCATCAGGATATGTAGGTGTCCATTCGATGTTGGGCCACACCATGGCGCATTCTACCAGTCCAATGCGCTTGGTTTGAGACCACCCAACTCTGCAGATAGACCACCGTAGCTTCGGACCCTCAACACCCATCAACACGTTCTACTGGGAGGATCAAGCCAATCGAACAGGAATCGTAACTAGGCACAGCTGGCTTATAGTCGATGAACATTACGAACCATTGGTCATCAACTTGGGATTCGTGCGATGATCGTTGCACAACAACCAAGAACACAACCCCGTAACTGGGATGATACAGGATCATCCCAATCAGGAGCTCTACTTTTGGAAGAAGCACCCAGAAATGTAGCTTCAAGACCATTCAGGACAGCCACAAAACCAAACAAATCCATGGCCACCACTGGCCACCACTGCCCAGCTGCCAAGGTTGCCCTCATGTTGGTCCCACTGCGCGCGGATGTAGCTCTGCGAGTCAGACCTGAAAGAGGGTGGAAATGGTGAAAGGCCTTCAAAGCCTGACGTTGAAATGGTTGAAATCGGTATTTATATAGCCTCCAAAAAATCGATAATGTCATCAAGATGGAGTACAAAAGATGTTGTTCCTGAGGAAATGATGCCGCCGGACATCACAAAGCTTAGGATTGGGGACATGCAAAAGTCTGGGTCAAGAAAACACAAAAATAGACTCAAAAAACCTTGACATCTCCACAGAACCTCAACAAAGAATAACTGAAATCTGGCCCCAGCTGACAATGGCCCCGCCAACATCATTGATTGCAAGCCCTTGAGGCTCTCAGGCGAAGCATTGAGGGCGAACAGTTGCGCCAAGATGGTTCCCCAGCTGTGCCCCAGCAGGTGATAGCGATCCTGACCCCAACTTTGGGATGAAGAGTGGGGAGGACTCAGTGGCTGAGAGTCATGGAAGTGATTGAAAATGATTGGCCTGGCAACCTGGAAGTTTTCCTGGCACTAGCAGTTGATTGATGAATTATTGGTTTTAGCAAGCATTCTAACTTGCAACCAACTGGGCTACTTCAAGCCTTCATTGAATGACTATCCTACCAAGTACGTGGTTGACAAGAACTGAAGAATTAGCCGGTGATGTTTCCCTCTATTTCGGCTCAGGAGGGAGGCTACGAGTCCGACAAAAACCATCTTCAAACTAGGAGAAGTCATGAGGGCAGGGTGAATGACGAAGTGTCATGGTCCCCTTGGGTGGAGAACAAAATCTTCAAATCAATTTGATTTACAATTGCGCGAAACACAGCTCCGTTGCGGTGTTTTGTGACTTGGAACCTAGCCAACCTTGGTATGGATCATGGGGTGCTAGGGTTCTTGCTGGTCCTCCTAATTTCCTCTAGAGTGATAGCGACAGAAAAATCGTAAAACTTTAAAGAATGATGCAGAAATGGCGCATCCTTGAAAGCTTTTCAGGCTGAACAAGGTGTTAAAAACAAAAATGAGTTCTACTGGATTACAAAAACAACTCATGTTCAGGGTTGTTTGGTATCTATGTCCAGCTCAGCATCCAAGTTCCAGTGGCTCAGCAGTTTGGGCAACTCAATCTGCGAATAGTAGCTGGTTTCCAGCAGGTGAGGAAACTCACTGAGACTTCGATTGGGCGGCAGAGCCGATTCTCCGCAGCCCGCCTGATCATAAAAGATCACCTGGCACAAAGGATGTGGTCACCGCAAGTCTAAGTTCATCCCAAAAGAAGGCCAAGTTAATCTGGGAGCCGACCTGTTTGAGTTCCCAGAGTTGCAGCGATCTGAGTCGTTTGAGTATGTTTGGGTCAGGCAATCAAGTTAATCGATAATTAGCCTGCTCTGTCCATTGGATTTTGAGGCACGAACTGAATTCCTCCCAACTGACTTTCCATCCAACATGACACAATCACTGCAATATCATCACCGCAATCCTCCAAGTACCCCCATCAATCGGATCAGCGGAATGCGCCTCGGAGAGACCGCGGCATGCCAAATGTTTCAGTGGCAACAAGTAGTTGTGGGGCCAAGAAGGCCCCCCGTGCAGTGCCACCAGGGGACTGAGGTGTGCTGGTGAGGACCTGCCGGATAGTCTGGGGATGCAAGAAATGAATGGATCTGTGACCAAGACCCAACCAAAATTGGCATAGCGCCAATAACTATGACTATGCGATGGAATTTATAAGAGTAGTACATGGGTCAAGACTTGCCGAAAGAGATAGGACGGGTACTACTAAAATTGACAGAAAAAGGTGCGGGCGTCTATATGAAGGTTTTACACACCCTTCTTGCAACGACGGGGTGATAAATCACGGTCAGAACTGCACAAACTCTGTGCAGTTTATATAAGGGTTCATCACTGTGGATTCTTAAACTGGGTGCACCCCAGCTAGCAGCGCAGCCAGCAGAAAGGATGCAAGATGATTGAAATGCATATGAAGCAACAACAAGTGCGAAGCACTTCCATGGATGTTTTTGAAATTGGGAACACACATCTCTAACAAGAAATACCTGTAAACCATGATGGAGACTGCACCAACCCTTTGTGGAGTGTGGATTGCAACAAAAAGCTAACCAACGAACGGACGGACGGACGGACCGATGGACTGATGGACCGACGGACAGACGGACCGACGGACCCACAGACCCCAAACCCCACCACCTCGCTGGTCTTCTGTCATCTTCCCAGTTTGGGACCCAAGTTTGGATCGCACCAGTACATTGCCCATCCTTCAACCACATGGACTCTGGGATCTCTATGAAAGCTAGTCACTTTTCTGGGGCCAAGGAAAAAGAAACATAATTTCATTGATCCCTTGATCTTTGACGGATTCGACTTCTTTCTGCCTTGCTCGGTAGCGCCAGTAAGTGACAGGAATGGACTTGATCACTATCTGTCCCTTCTGCACCGTCAATTCGCAAGGTTTCGACACCAGTTCATCGCAGGTCCAGAAAGTGCCACCCCAGACCAAACCAAAGCAGAAGCAAAGGATTTTGCGCATGGCAATCGCTTAAGAAAAATGTTGTGAGAAGGCCGTCTTCGATTGGGTTTCATTTTCAATGACCCGAAAACAAATCTCTTTGTGGATGCAATCCCAAGACTCAACATATTGGACCCGGCTCGTGTTGCTTTGGCGGGACCGGTCACAATTGCAAGGCAGGTATCAGCATTGCAAACTGCAGTTGGTGCCTTTCATCAAGAATTTTACTTTCGCTGAACAGGTGATGCCAACTCACTGCGACCAACAGGTGTTCTGAAATACCAATAAACATAATAAACCCAGTCAGCGAAAGGTCGGATTGGCTGAAATCAGCTGCAGGGCTGACATGAATCGAACTCAGCAATCTAAAAGGGTTTCTGATGGGTGCCCGTAGTTTTGTCCCTGGACTTCGGAGCCACCAGCCAGCACCAAACAATGGAAAAAATACACCAACGAAGTAAGCACAAACACGAACTGTCCAGCTTGCGGTTTGTTTCAGCACTTGGCTCAATTGGCTCAAGGCATGCAGGACAACAATGCAATGCCGTGCTGTGGCACCAGCAACTTTCACAGCAGTTTCAGCATTGGCCTTCTTTCCGTTGGAGTGAAAGTGAGTTTGCGAGTGGTGGAGACAAGAGTTGCCTCACTTTGGGATGGTTGGCCGCTGCGGGTCCGGCAGCTTGGCATTTTACATCGTGTCAATTTGACGCGAAAGATCTTTGTGTGGCAGCCAGAACTGACAACGGGCACATTCTGTCGCGGCTTTGGCCATGCTCACAGGGCGATCGACCATTGCAGTTGCCGGAGCGACAACCAAGCTCCTCACCTCTTTCGGCCTAGATGATGCGCACACCACACTTCCGCTCGGGCCCAGATGGAAAATGTGAGATTGTGGGCAATGAAGCTCAGACCAAAAACCGCCTTCAGCCCTGCTGTCGCCCGACTTTTTTTCCACACTCGGACGCCATGGTCCCAGGTCATCACAAGAAGAATGGAAACTCTGCTGATTGGCAGGGCAAGCAACCCGAAAAACAAAAGAAACACACCAGCCCAACCCAAAACGATCCCAACAACCAATGTGGCAGAGTTTCGTCTGTGCTGAGGTGAGAGGTGCGAAACAGAAAGCACCAACTGGTTTTTTTTTGCACGGGTACGGGCGCTATGTGTGCCGAGAGGCACAAGTCACCTTGGATGAATTCGAAGAGTCGGATGAGAGGATACGAGCCAGAACCAAAGAGGCCAACCCACCAAGGCCCAACCGCCAAAACAAACAAGCACACCCAAACAGCCCCCCAAAGGAAACCGAAACGGAGCTGGCTCATATCCGCTTGAAATGTGAGAAAAAAGTGAAGATCCAGAGATCTAACACGGAGGTGAGACGGGGCAATGAATTCAAGATCCTAGCAGCACTCAGTACAAGATGTCCATCATCGAACAGCTTCCTGCCTCATGGGTAGCTGGTGCTTCAACGAGGGGGTGTTGTGCTCTCAGTCATTGTCGAGCAAGACTGGATGCAAGTGTGAGTTGCTTTCTAGGCCAGTTTCGGAGCCAGGCAAGACGGAACTTGTATCAAAGATCACGACCGAGCCTATGCTAAATTGAAGAGCTCCTAATTGGCCTCCACTGTGACGAACGCTCCTCACATCTCTACCTCACTACATACGGGACGAGCCAAGACAAGACTACCCAGGGTGTTGTAACGAGTATGCTTGATCACTTGGACCCTGCCTCTATTCCGGCCTCTGTTCCAGGTTTTGAGAGGCATGGCACTTGAGACCCTTGGGAAGAGCATGCGAATATGAACGAAATGAAAGATCCCAGGAGATCTGCAGCTGGCAAGCCGCGGCTTTTAGAAAATCCGGAGGTAGCTACGAAGTCCCCCTCTCCCCCCCCCAAGGGGGGAGGTGATGAGATCTTGCACCCAGGTAGCAGTTTCAAAAACGGGACCATCGACAAGTGCAAATGGTCTCACGACGTGGCAGGATGCGCCACACCGACCACTTCCAGAGTGCAAATCAACCGTGAGTGAGCGCAATCGTTGCAAAGCGGTCGAGCCGCGGCCGGTTATACTTCCTTCCATGGTCTCACGAGTGCACCGGAGTTCAAGGCAACATGCAAGCCCCATGAACTATGTGAAACGGTGAAACGCCGCTATTCCTAGTACTAGTTATCTGTACACTGTACCCAGCCCTGACCACCTCTTGGGAGGCAGCCAGGGGAGCTGGCTATCTACTCAGGTGCGATGGCAGAATTGGCATTTGGAGTGACAGCCCAGGGACTCCCTACTGTTCCGTTAGTGAGCACTGAGCCGATTAGCCAAGCCAATCCGGGAGTCCCATCTCCCTGACCCTTTTGCAAGCTTTGCTACCGCTGCGCGGCAGCGCTTAGATTGGCGTCGGCGCAGCTTCTCATGAAGTCCTCCCACTCTTCTTTTACAGCATTGCGCTTGGGGACAGAAACCGAATCCAGGTAGGGAGTGCCAGCTTAGCGCACGTCTCGAAAGCATCATATTCAGCGTAAGTGCCCCGCCACGTTCCTTTCTTGCCCATTCGTACGAGCTTGCATAGCTGTGTACAACCTGCGAAAGCTCGCTTGTTGATATAGAGCAGGGCAGGTGGAGTGTGTATTTCTTCTAAGGAAGTACATCTTAGGAAGGCTTCACGCTCGATGCGTCTCAGTGTCTTGGCTAACTTGAGAAGTTGTAGTTGGGAGCAACGTGCGAAGGTGCCCCCTAAGATTTCATTAATTTCGGTCCGTGAAATGTCCACTGTCTGTAGCTTGTCACAATGTTCGAAAGCTGCCGGTCCCATCCAACAGAAGTCTGCTGGTAGGGTGAGCATCTCTAGCCCTGCCTCCGAGAAACAGCCTTCTGGTATGACTCGATTCGGGTCTCGTGGGTCATATTCAGTCCTTTCCAAATTGATTGTCTGCAAAGTACGGCATTTTTCAAAGGCTCGAGTGTGGAGGCGTGCTTGCGGCGCAAGCTGATTGCCTGCTCTGTCTGGGTCACCTACCCGGGCAAGCGCATGGCACTCCTCAAATACCCAACACCCGAAATGTTATGATATGCACGGCATTCAAAATTGCATACCTTGGCATGACCATGCCATTTGCAAAGAAATCTCAAAAAAACTTCATTCGTACCATTTGCTGTGAAACTTGTAGTTTGTGCATCGTCCAAAGGTGATGCTCATTGTGCAAAAATGTGTGGTCGCATGCATACCTCCTTCGGAGGATGTGCTCGCGGTGCAAAACAACCATTTTCCATATCATCCGTGGATGATATCGTGCATGCAAAAAGCTATGCCTTCCAAAAGGCTTGCCTTTCACATCATCCATTGATGATGTCGTGCATACAAAGAGCTATGCCCATTGCGCACACGTTCAAGGCGTCCATGTGCAAAAAGTGTCCACGTGCAAAAGTGCTCACCTCCATGGGATGCTCGCCATCCATCCAGATTTTCACACCCCCTTTTGAGCCTTTTGCACCATTCCATAATCCACCATCCAACATAGTCCAGCGAGCTGCTTTCAAATGTAGCGCTCAACCAGCTCATACACTGCACTCCATCTATGGATCCTCTTCCTCGAAGGTCCGAGCAATCGAGGTACCTGGGATCAATGGTACCTGTTTCGTCGCTCCATGGCGTGCATCATACGCCTTCAAATACCGGGCAAAATCCAGTGGTGCACCTTTGCTGGTCCTCTGGTTGATGTGAGATCGGACCCACTTTCTGTAGTCCCACAGGCTTGTGTCCGTCGCCACTTCAATGTAGCTATGTTTGCCCTTGTATTGACCAAATGAGATCATGGTCTTCCCCCACATCTCCAGGGAATCAATACCCTGTGGCAAGTCCACAGGACCTTGGGATTCCTCGGCAGCCTCCTGAGCTGCTGCCGCCCCAATCACCGGTGAGGCATCCAATGCCGCAATGATGGCCTCTTCCAAGGCCGTGTCATCCTTGCGGACTCTCCCAGCATACGATGGCGCTGGGTCACTGGCATCCACTTGTTCCCAACCTGCAGGTCCTTCAGACTCCACAGATAGTCGCCGCTTCGAGCCATCATGCATGGCGCCATAGCTACCCTTTTCTGGAAGGGAAGGCGGTCCAAAGCTGCCTGTCACATCTGCCTGCATCCGCTTCTGGAGAAGCAATGACAGTGCAAACTCATCTTCAGGCGTCCATTTGTTTCGTGACTCACTCGAACTGGCCATGGCTCAAGGCGCTCACAGCGCTCACTACAGTGCTGCCCAAACAACCACCGGGGCACCAAAGTGACCGAGCTAGTTGGAACTCCGTTCGCCTATCCAGGCTTTCAAAAAGAAGTGAAGGCAAACGCAAAAAAGACAAACAGTCTGTGGCGTGCACCACGCCTTCAAGTATGTACAAAGTATGTGTATATTGCAACATCACGTGTGCAAATTGAAATTCCATGCAATTTCTGAGTGCATTGTTTCTGTAACATGCTGTTCATGCACTGCTGAAAGCTATTAAGTGTCTCGCCATAAGATCCGTGCCTTCTTCGAAGCTAAGGCCAAAACCATCACAGATCTACAACGCATCAAGCTGAAACATAATGATGAAACACAGAAAGAAAGAAAGTCCAATGAAGTTCACTGAAGACTGTCCCCCTTTCAAACACAAAAATCCACTACTTTTGACATCCAAAGTCAAACAATCATGGGTCCTTTCGTCCAATACGAACTGCATCTACAATTCCTCTGGCTAAACGCTTCGTATAGTTTCCAGTGTCCGGAAAGTCCACCTTGTCCAATGCTGCATGCTCACAATTGCAAGTACACGTACCAAAGCGTCTTCTCAAAACGGTGCAGAATCCTTTTGACGTCGAGACAAACCTCAAAGTCTTCCCGACCGGCTCTCCCTGTACAGTTGTGCATCCAGTCCTGCGCAAGCGAACAAGGCTTTCATGCACAAGTCCATGTTGAGAAAGAACGTCCTTGGTTTCAGGTCGTGACCAAATGGCATCCACCTGTGGCAACTCAAAAGATGAACTGTGTCCTAGTGAAAGGTAGTCACCAACAGATGAAATGATCT